TCTCTCTCTCTCTCTCTCTCTCTCTCTCTCTCTCTCTCTCTCTCTCTCTCTTCCCCCACTGGGGATTGAATCCAGGCCCTTTTTATTGTTAATTTAGTTCACATGCCAGGGCTGGGCTTGAGCGGAAGAAGCTCCTGTTTCAGCTTCCCAGAGGGATGGGAACACCACAGGTGTGTGCATCTGACTGCTTTTCTGATCCTAAATCTCAAGGAGAGCAGCCTGGGGTCGGAAATCCTTTGCCTCCTCCTAGCCTCTTGGTGGGAAGCGCAAGCATCCTGGCTCACCCGGCTTTCTCCGGCCAGGGAGACCCCGGATTCCACAGCCCACTGGTCCAGGCCTTTGCACGCCCAGAAACCTCCTGACACCGGGATTGCTGCAGAGTTGCTGTCTCTGTACCCGACTTCCCTATAACCTCAGCTTTCTAGCCTCCAGGATAGGAGATAGTGAATGTCTGTTGTTTAACCCACCTGGATTTTAACTCACTCGGAGTGCTTCTTGTCAAACACTGATACCCACTTGCGAATCATCTCATTTCATCATCCCTATTACCCAGGAAGAATGGATGAATTTACAATACCTATTTACAGATTAGGAGATGGAGGTTTAGGCTGGGCATAGTGGTACACATCTGTAATCCCAGTACTGGGGAGGCTGAGGCAAGAGGATCCCTGTGCATTTGATGCCAGCCTGAGCTACATAGTAAGACTTCGTCTCAGAAAAGCAAAGCAAAGCAAATGGAGATGAAGGTTTAGAGAAAGAGACTCATTCCATTGAGCTCTCCCAGAGCCACGGGCAGAGAGGCTGGAAATTGAATCCAGACCCTAGAGGCCCAGAACGTTCCTCGTAACTACAAGAGCATATTGAGGCTGCAACAAAGACCTTGTCTACTTTTCCCAACCAATGTTTGCCACCTTCAGGAAAGGCAGCATTGCTCAGGCAGGAAGCGCTGAGTCTGGCTCCATGGAGGCTTCCCGAAGCACCCAATAATCACACGATAGAAAGCTGACTGCTGTCTCAGAGCTGAGGACAGGCTTGCTCACTGAGAGTGCGTCTGTCTCACTCGGGAGACATTTCAGAAACGTCTTCCCTCCTTCACCCCATCACTAACCCCCATAAAAAAGTAACAACATAACCATCAAGGACACAAGCCGAGCCAGAAAGCTTGTTTTGGGGTTGGGCTCACAGCTGAGCGTCGGAGTGGAGCTATTCCAGCATCGTTTCCAAGTTCCTGCTAATGTGAAAGAGTGTCCCTGGCTCCAGCAGAACCTCATCTGCATAAACAACAGTGCTGTGCGAAGACCGCTGATGGGCAAATTACCAGAGATGAGTATGTGCCGCACATCTGGCCCTCGCACTGGTTCGATGCGGGGCAGAGAGGCCCTGCCGAGCCTCCAGATGCCATCTCTTCTGCTGTGTCCTCCGCGGCTGCTGCAGCCCAAGTGGCAGATGCAGACTCCGGGAGCCTCTCGTGGGAGTTTGGAAGGGACCCGGCAGGGCTGCGCTGACTTCTGCAGACCCCGGAACCTCAGCCTTTCTCCTTCTCTACCTTTCTACTGTAGCGGCTCCTGGAAGTCATGTGATATGGATGAGCGATAATAACATTCCTAGCCACTGTTACTGAGCCCCTAGCACCGGGTCCAGCTCAGGAAAGCCACACTCCTTGGGGCCGTACTATTATTATGCTCATTTTATACACAAAGCAAGCGGCAGATCCAAAGGCTGCAGCAGCAAGCCCAGTCCTTAGCATCCCACGGCATCAGCTTGTGGAGTCCGCGTGTCCACATACCTGCAGTCTCCTAGAGCAGCAGGCTGCCTCTGAACAGACTGATTCACTTGCCAGGGCTGCCACATCCTAGCACCACACTGGGATGCGGTATAGTAAAGTGTCCACGCTTCAGCATGTGGAGCCTGAAGCCAGTGATGACCAGAGCAGAGGGCCTGGCTTGGCTCCTGACCTCTGCCTGACTTTCAGCTTGGCTCTGTGAATCAGAGTCCTCTGAAGAAGCTGCATCTGTACTGAGGACTAAAGACCAGCTCATTAGAACATCGTGACTGCAGAGAAACGGAATGTGGCTGACGAGGAGCCAAAATTTTCTTGGGCCACCTGTGATCCCTTTTAATAACCTCTTACTCTCAGCCTCTGTATCTGACCTAACACCCTATGACTAACATGTAGAACTTTTAGGATGTGTAGATAAGCTTACGAGAGCTCTAGCTTCCAGCTGCCCTACAGCTGAGCTATGCTTCTGAAATGTGACAGGGACAAGACAACATCTGAAACCCATAGAAGAGACTTGTCCACTCTGCTGCAGCCCAGCTACCTGAAGTCCCCACCAACGTATCTGGTGAATGCACCGATTTACGTACAACTTTCTTCTGTTCATCATTACATAAATTCATGCACCATTCTTTAGAGAGAGCCCTTCCTGGTCCTCATGGAGGTCTGGGAAGTTACTATTTGTAATCCCATGGAAAAGTCATTGGAATTCTAGCCAGTTAATTCCAATCTACCACTTCCAGTGCTTCTCATGACAAAAATAAATGCACTAAGGCATATCTGTATTTGTAGTTGTGAGGAGTAAGGGTGTCCTGAGTGCAGCTAGCCTGATGGCTAACAGGAGCAAAGGCCTCAACTCAAGGGTTTTATTCATTTGGGAAGAAGGCAGTGACTAGGGCATGAATGACTATGAGAAAGGAAGGGCAGTAGGTGAGTGCTGTGAGCCGGGCTGGGTAGGAGGCCTGGAATCACCCCTGCAATATGCAGACAGAAGGATATGCAGGAAGAGCAACCTGCATGACCCAGCTGAGATAGGATCGAACGTTTGCAGATCAGTGTTTGAGCTCTGACTGTAATCTTTTTTGCCATGGGAAGTCGTGGCTTCTGATCTTGGCTCCATCCCAGCTCAGTACAGCTCTCCCTCCCGCCTGGCTCACATGTGTTCTCTTGGAGCTGTGGGGACTGGGTAACACTAACCCGTCACGACACGTCAGCACCTCAGTTGGACCAATTTGCACCGCGTAAGTCCAGTTGAAGGGTTAAGGAAATGTCCTAGCCAGCTCTATACACAACAACATATGGAAACGGGGCCTATTTAGCCCAAACGGAAATAACTGCTCTTCTTTCAAGGAGGTGCTCCTCCACAATGTTTCACAGTGGAACGTGTTGTCCAGGGTAACTTGAACCTGTGTTCTCAGGCCATGGTTACTCATGGTTGCTCAGAATAGGCTATATCTTATTACCTTTGAGTATGATCTGTATCTTGCAATGACAGTCTACCCCCCTCCACTCCCAGGCCAAGGCCTCTCTCCTCAAAATGTGGTCACCTGGGAGGTTGCCAGAAAGCCGACCTCATGGCCCCAACACAGGCAGTACAACTGGGCCTGAAGGTCACACCCCCTCCATCCACCTCAACTTGGTCAATGTGGCAGGCACAGTCCTCCTTCTACTGTCACAAGAGAAGCAGAAATAAAAATAACAAAGACCTGGAAATTTCTAAAGCTCCAGGCCAGAGCATGTGGCCTGAACTTCAGTAACCTTTTCCCTCACTTGAACCTCATTAAAGCCTCATCCTTATGGGCTATATCTCACACAAAAGATTAAATCAGCAACTTCTGGGACAGACTTGGGTACTGTGGTATCCCTGAGAGACTCAGCACCCTGTCAGTCATCTCTGTCAGAGACCCAGTGATAGGCACCTGGGGTGGTGTGCATAGCTTTTAAAATCCCAAAGCCAGATTATCTTTGCCTTTTTCCTATTCCCCTACCATCCTGACACTTCTGTTCTTGAACACCGTCCCATTATCTTCAGTAAGTGTAGTTGCCTTTTCTTGTCAATGGATGTACACGTGCAATTTTTAGCTCACCTAACTGGGAAAGACTCCTGCTTCCAGGGGTCAAGGGGAAGAAGATATTGCAATTTCTTAAGGAAACGGAACATGGACTCCAGACTGTCGATTCTGGGTAGAAATGAGCCTTAAACCTCAACCCCTTGGTCAGGAGCTCTCCTTGCCTTGGCCACACATCTGATGGGACAGCACGTAGCTCCTATCCCAGGCCTGGGGAGTGAACTGCATGGGGTCAGGGCAGCGGCCTGCTCACAGACCAAGAGGAATCTAGAAGCTAGCAAGTTGGCCTGTGATCCCAGCACTCAGGAGGCGGTGGCAGGAGGACTGCGACTTAGTGGCCAGCCTGTACTACAGTGAGACCTCATCTTGAAAAAAGGAGGGATCCAGAAACTGCCAGAATGGCTGTGTCCTCTGTGGCACAGGGCCTGTGTCGGGCATCACCATGTTCTTTCTCACTGTGTCCTCCAATTGTCCTGTCAGGGTGGCTTTGTCCCATTGGATAGATGAAGACCTTGAGACTCAGCCTGGCTTGCTGAAGGTAACACAGTTGATGAGGGGTTTTTATAAGTTCGAAGTTCTGCTCCTTCGACAATTGCAGGCTCATGCCTCAGTTCCAAGGCAGAAGACCACATTACTTACTGGCTACCCTGCATAAAGGCTGAACAACCAGGGTAGCCTTCCTGCCAAGTCTGCCTGCTCTGTATGAGATGCAGGTGGCAGATGCCAATGCCTCGTTTGCCACCCTCGATGCTACGTGGCTGGAGCCATCTGCTGGGTTCAGATTCAGAGGCCAATGGCTTGGCCATTGGTGGGTGGTTCAGGAGGAAGTCAGTGTGTGGGTCAGATCCAAGTGAGAATGGAACAGTCAACTTCCAAAAAGGATTAACCCAAAAGCAGGACAGGGGATCAGTGGGCCACTATCATATACAGACTATGACAAGATCTCAGTAGAAGGAAAGAGATACAATGTTATTTTCATTAAGGAGTTTATTTCTCTTTAAAAAACCAAAACAATTGTTTGAACTAGGCACAGCAGCACTGTGACATTAAATGGAACATAAAAGATTCAGAGCAGCAGAAATAGAAGCCATTGTCTTCAGGAGTGACCTCCAGAGTGGAATCATTTTCATTCATCAATGATAAAATCTCCCTGAAAAAAAAATTAGTAGCCTTTGGATACTATAATAATTATTACTATTTTAACAATGCTAATAGCCACAAAGCTCTCCTAATTGAGAACATTTGCTTTTGATCTATTATAAAAATGACTTCTCAATGAACTGGGAAAAGATTACCTCGATTCTTTTGGGGAGGTATCCTTCCCTTGTAAGGACAGCTACCTTGTCACATTTTTTAATTGGTCCCCAGCGCAAGCCTTTACATTTCAGCCAGAGGACACGTGCTGTGGCCGGGCAGGCTTGGCTCACCTGGCTCTGGGCTGCAGCCGCTGGGTGTTGATTGTGCAAACAGGTGCAGAAAGGCTGGGGTCGGGGTGAGGCTCCCCAGCTGTGGTTGGCTGTGAGTGGAAGAAGTGAGCTCTCTGCCGTCTGTAACTCCCATGGCTATGCGGCTTCCAAACGCACAAAGATTTATTCACTACCTTTCCATACCAAATGGTAAGAAGTTAGAATTCCTACCTCGGAGCATCAGATTATGCAAACAGGAGACAGCTAAAGAGGCTGTTTTGGAAACGTATGAGTGGCCAGTGAGAAGCGCACAGCAGCCCCAAGCATCACTCAGGCATTTTCTTTCCTCTTGGGGGACTTCCACTTATCAGGAAGCCACTGTTCCCTTGGGCAGGGCCAGTGATGCCAGGCTCCAGGAGGACTTGGGGTCTCCCCTGTATTGAGGTCAGCAGCTCAGTGAGAAAGTTGGGAAAGCGGCACAGTGGCCCCAGTCTTTCAGGAAAGGATAGTGTGTGGGAGAAAAGGATGGATTTCGACCGTGGTGCTAAGCTCCTTGGAGAGGCATGGCAGCTTCCCGGTCTCAGAATCCTCCAGGACTCACCTCCAGGAGGACTTGGGGTCTCCTCTGTATTGAGGTCGGCAGCTCAGTGAGAAGGCAGCCGCATCTCACTGCACCCCCAAATGCATGTGCATGTCCCTCTGAACTCACCACCACCGTCCTGTCCTGTGCGCACATCACCGAAGTGACTTGCCTGTGTCACTCTGGGACTCCAGGCCACCTACCCAGCCCTCTGAGGCAACAAGTGAACTTCAGAAGGCCACAGGTGAGCAAGCGATCAACTCTGGAGCCCTAGGCTCACATGCGTGATGGACGTGGTGGACGCCATCCTCTGTGAAGGTACGGGCCATGTGTTCTGGACACTCCAGGAGCCCTGAAAGGGGCCTGATGAACACTCACGAGTCGGAGTGATCACGGCACAGACTGCCCTGTCTGCCAGGGACAATGGCTTATCTTCTAAATTGTAGAAGCAGAGATGCTTCTGGGAGACCCTGCATCTTTCCCCAAAGGCACAGATTCAGCAAATATCTGGTGAGAAAAATGTCATGCTTGGAGCAAGAGAGGCTCTTCTGCGGAAAGCTGCCCTGCAGGAGAGTCACGTCCATCCACTGTCCAAATATGCCTTCTCCTGGACAGGTGAATGGGTGGAGGGGTTGTTTTTAATTTAAAAATATATTTTTAAAATGCAGCTCTAGAAACTAAGGTTGGAGGAGGAGCAAAGTAGGGATGGGACAGGGATTCGGACTCAATGGAGAAAAGGGCTGATCTTCAGGCACTGTTCTTGAGGTCTTCTTCTTACTATGGAGCCATGGATGAGCCGAAGGAACAGGCCTGAACAGGTCATGTGATAGCCCCCGCCTCCCATGGGCGCTGGGGAGACAGGTGGCAATGTGAAGACACGTTATCAGGAGTTAGTGTTAAGGCCCTGGGACTGCGGGGCCTCTCATGGTAGTCAGACTTTCACTTTCTCTACCCCTGGGGATTTTCTGCTGTCCATGGACAGTGCCTTGGCTTTGGGGTGTAGAGAGATGGCTTCCCAACACCATCTGTCTGGCAAGGGTGGAGTACCCCTGAATGGGGCCAAAGGAATGAACCTTCTAGGCAAGAGGTTAGGGTGGTAGCTTTGGTTGGTGACCTCCCAGGAGGATGGTGACCTTCTTTCCCTCAAAGAAGGAGCATCAGCAAGAGCTGGGGATCCTGCAGTACTGACCCAAGAGTGTCCACTTCTTGGCAGAAACTGAATACAGTTGTATTTGGTTCCTACACAGCCCAAGAAAGGGAGCCACCTTGCAGAACTTGTCTTAAAGATGACAACACTGGACAGTACAGGGATTAGAGGGAAGCATGGTTATTTCTTCTCCCCAATTTGTTTGTAAAACGACTTCAACAGGATCAGCTCCGAAGGCTAGGCCCTTGTCTAGCAGCATGCCCCAGCACCCTTGGTGAAGTTTGGGGTACAACTTGAACACGTGGACACGAGGCTGATGTGCTCACGATGCTCCTTCCTGAAAGCTCATGCCCCAAATCTGTAGGGTCACTCAGAGAAGCGTGTTTGGGACAGTCACACCCCAGCCCACCAGTGCCCTGAGATGCTGGTTCTCGTATTCCACGATCATCCAAATAATCTGAAGATACAGATTCTGCCCCTGCCCCTGCCCCCACCCCCAGAGACCTGCACACGGTAGGTTTGGGCCATGGCCTGTGGATCTGCATCTTAACAGGAGGAGCTGATGCAGATGGCGTCTGGCCCAACCTCTGGGAATGCCTGGCGGCTGCTGGTAGCTGAGACCAGCCCTGAGGCAGAACTGGACACCTGTGCTCCGCCAGGCAGGGAGACATGCGCTCAGCTGTTTACCCTAATTTGGCAAGGAGGGGAGGGCCACTGTGTTCCTTGTCCCCTCATGAGGCAGAGAGAGTGCCCGGTAGCTCCTGGGGCTGAAAAGCCATGCTACCTGGACCTGGGGACACCTGTGGAAGCTGCTGGTTTGGCAAAGCCACTCCAGGGGCTACTTGTGCCTGGACCTCTGTGATATCCAATTAGAACCTGCCTCCTGGGGAAGTGACCAAGAGCTTTCTTGGTGGCCTGCTCTCTCCTGGGGTGTCCCACCTGAGGGAGACAGAGCCTCATCAGGCAAGCAAGTCTGTGGGTCTCCTGAAGGTGTCAGAACCCAAGGAACATTTTGGGAGCGGTCCTTGGGCCAACCTCTCTCCTCCTGGCAGACAGACACAAGGCAGTCGCTCAGAATGCCTAGGACCCTTGCTTGCGCCCTGTTGCTTCCATGGTCCCGAGTGGCTGGGGGATTCGGGGCTCTGCGAGTAATCCTCATCAGCACTTGCTTCCTTCAAAAATAATACATAAGAGAAATTCACAAACACAACACAAACCTCTTGAAAACGGCTGGTTTTAGCGGTCGGGACCTGCTCAGAAAGCTCAGAGTGCAAGGGCCACCTTCCCGCAGGAAGAGGAGCCCGGGGGTGAGAAGGTGCGGGCAGGGACCCCTGCAGGAGAGGTGTGCCCGCCAGCAACCCCCAAGACCAGAGGGCATCCAGCAGGGCACAGTGGGGGAACCCCGAGGGCATCCTAAGCATTTAATTCGGATCTTTGCACGCCGACAGAAGGGCGATACCAATGTGAGGGAAGGCCAGAGATAGAGGGAGGCAGACACAACCAATGCTTCAAAGGTGAAAGGTGAGAGGCTTTCTACATTTAATAAAAACATTTTCTCATTTGAGGCTCTGGAAGTCTGGAGTTACTTTTTTTTTTCTTTTTTGTAAATCCCTTCCCCCTAAAATGTCTTAAAACACATGGCTTAACAGTGGCTGCACAGAAAATATACACCCTCAAAGTCTGACTTTCATTTAAATACAAATATACAAAATGTAAACTGAGACAATAGAGAAATTTACAAAACTTTTCTTTAAAAATAATAAAGACAAAATTCAGTTCTAGTTAGGACGCTATTAAAATACGTGCAAGTCATTGTATCTCACTGGGTTTCCATTGCAACGTTCAACAAGGGCAAATCCAATCCACATCGGCATGGGGCCTCCTTGAAAAACAGACCTGAGTGGATATTTCTTTGAGAAACCCCGAGGCTTGTAGAGGGGGCGGGTGGCCTCCTTCCCTGGCTCCTGGCGCTGCTGGCCACCCAGCCAGAGAGGAAGCCCTGTGGCCACAAGTTCTGCTTCCCGATAGAAGGTCTGGGCTGGTTTCGCCGTGGATGTCAAGGCCAGAGCTGAAACTAGCTGCTTCCGGTGGAGTTTGAGCTGACATGGTTTGAATTTATGTGGTGGTTGTGACTGGTCTTGGAATTGGGCGAACTCTTGGAATTGTTCTGATGCTGGGTGGGTGGGGGGAGAGGAGGAGGTGGAGGGAGAGGACAGGGGAGAGGGAGGGAGAGAGAACACAAAGGTCACTCCTCAGTGCAGGCAAACTCGGCTGACACAGCCATGTGGACTCACAGCGGGGCAGGGGCTGCTCCCACACACTTCTCTGCTTTTGGCTGCTTCTCCACTTTCCTCTGCAGACCGGGTCTACAAGCTACCACTGGGGGCACAGAGTTTGATCTGGTGCCTGGGAAGAGAACCCCAACTGTGTAGAGGCTAAAGCCTTCAGGCCTGATGGCTTGGATTTGATCCCAGATCTTCCCCTCCCAAGCCAAACAGCCTTGTACACCTCACTTAATCCTTAGTTTCCCAGCCAGTACCGTGTTATGAGAGCGGCATCTCCACACGGCTGTTAGGGTACAAAATGAGGCACGGTGGGAGAAGGGTCTGGACCTATACCTGGCCCTTCCATGATCAGCAGTGGCTTGTTATTACCCTGGAGTTGCCCTGGCATCCTCGTGGGCATGGGGCCCTCAGACTGCGGGAGAGGGAGAGGGGCAGGGGCCCTTGCTCCGTGGGTGCAAGGGCTGGACCCCAAGCAGGGTACCAGCTTCCACCTCTCAAGGTCCTTCAGGACCCGGGGCAGTGGGGTTTCTAGCCTGAGTTTTCATGAGATAGAGGTCTGTCAGAGGCCCCAGGGCTGATCTGAGCCTGGGTCCATGAGACTGCACAGCCAGTTCCCAGGACTGAGGGAGGACCTGGGAGCCGGGACACATGGTGAAGGGACATTTTTCTCCGGAGGTTCAGTTTCACTTGATGGAAGCACTTAAAAGTATGGAGAACGAGCCCAGGACTTCACAATGAGTTTCAGATCATCCCCTCCCCCAATTTTAACATGGGGTGCGGTGGAGGATGTTACTAATTTGCCCAAGCTGGTCTCAAACTCACAATCCTGTCTCAGGCTCCTGAGTAGCTGGGATTATGTGTGTGCACCACAATACTCAGCCAAAGTTACATTTTTATATCACATAACATCGGTACATTATAGAATAGGGTATAAAACTTGCATGAAGTTTTTAGGTTAAAAACACAAACTCAAGGACCTCAGCCCGCACCTTCTCTTCCTACGTCTGGTGTTCGCTCTTGGTCCTGTTATCCCAGCTCATCCTCCCTTCCTGTGAGCTCACCAGATGAGTGACCCTGAACAAGACCTTTAACCCTCTCAGCCTCAGTTTTCTTATCTGTGAAATGGGAAAACAGCAGCATATGCTGGAGCTAGCCTGTAATTCACCAGCATGCCCAAGGGCTTCAGTGTACCCCATGTCCTTACACACAGCCTGGCATGCAGGAGGCCCAGACTTACTGGTGCAATGAATGAACTGTTTAATGATGCCCAGGGTTTGGTGGACATTGGATGCCTTTGGAATGCTACCAGCCCCTGGCCTGGTCTACAGGGAAGCTTCGTAAACATCTACCTTCATCCATGCTACCAAAAGGGGAGGAGCTGAGCCCTGCTGGGAGGACCCCTGGGAAAGGAGGGCCTGCTCTCTGGGGGACGAGGAAAGGAGGGCCTGCTCTCTGGGGGACGGAGACACTGAGGAGCCAGGTGTGTGGGGGAGGGCTCCCTCCCTCGGTGGGAGGGCCCAGCTTCCTGAAGAACAGTCCAAGGGGGGCACTTCTAGGGCCACCTTCACACTTGGGCTCACTCCAGGCCGTCCACGCCCTCCCAGGACATCCTTCCCATTTGATCTCCATCTGATCCCGGGAGAAGGAGGTGCTGTGGTTCCTGGAGGGCAGAGACCAGGAGGCTACAGAGCACCCTCCTGCACACAGGGTGCCTCCCGTGGCGCAGAGCCAGCACCAAATGACAACAGGGACGAGGGGAGAGGCCCGGCCCGGACGTCAGGTAGACCTGGGCTGGCCTTGCCCCTTCTGCCCTGGGGCACCCATCAGCCATGGGGGTTGGGGGGGTGCTGGGCTCTGGACCAGCTGATTGTTTCTCTTGGGCTGCTCTGCCCCGTGCTCCGGGCCACGCAGGCAGGAGGCACTCTGTAGCTCTGGTCTTGCTGCTGCACTGGCGCCTGGGCCAGGGGTCGGGTTCTGAGGCCAGGCCCACCCCGGCCTCTCACCTGACGCCGGAAGAGTCTTTGAAGCAGCCCTTTCTTCGGTGGTTCTGGAGGCTGACTTCTGTTCAGGTCCGATGAGAGAGTACCATCAGGTCCAAACACGTTCAGCTCCTTAAAACATTCTGTTTCTATCATCTGCAGAGGCCAAGCAGAGACTGCTGTCACCTGGGTCCGGAGCCCGCAGGGCCTCCTTGAGCCTTGTTTTCTCTCCCCTCGGGCCCATCCTCCATCTTGGGGCCATCCTGGCCTGGGTGAGCCTGCGATGCTTCCTCTGGGGTGGGGACAGCCCCCGCCCACCCAGATGCAGTGCCACTTCGAACAGCACCCACGGCGGGGGCACTCCTCCTCCTCCACACAGTGGAGCCCCATGGCCTCCACCAGTCCTCACGTCCCTAACTCAATTCTGCTCTGCCTTCAGCAGCTGCCCTGCTTTTGATCTCCTCGCCGGACCTAACAAGGGAGGTTGTGGGTCTCCTCCTCATCCCTTCTCGGCTGCTCGGCACCTCCCGACCCTGCCACACTGAGTCGTCCTTGCCCAGGCCCCACGGGCACCTCACAGCCTGGCCCAACAGCCTGGCTTCTGTCCTCTAACACCCCCCTCCATCAGCTCAGCCATGGGCCACTCTCTTCTCAGAATGAAGCCAGGGGCTCTCTCTACCCACCTCATTCTGCCACGGGATGGACACGGAGCCTGTGGAGAACTTGGAGTAGAAATCGTCATCCGTGTGGTCCAAGTTGACGCCTTTCACGGTGGAGAACTGCTCGATGTCCAGCACATCCTTACAATACACGGCCCGTGGCTGAGGGAGGAGAGGGCTGGGTTACTCGTGGGCTCTGCTCGTGGTTCTAAGGCCCCAAGACAGGCCTTGGTGTTTTATGGGGGGCAGAGGGAGAATCTTTCCCAGACTCCTCCGCTCCGAACCCAGACCTAAGCTGGCCTCTCTCAGCTCCATTAAGGGGATCACAGTTGGTGTGAAACGATTGCTGGGGCCACCCACTGCCGTCTGGGGCTCCTTTGTGCCCTTGCCCTTGCGTGTATCACAGGTTACCTTGTGGTCTCTTTCTAGATGGGGCTGGGTGGAGAGATCTCTTCTATCTCTAAATCATGCTCCTCAGCCCCTGGTACCCCACGCTTCTGTCAGATATTCCTGGTTACTCAGGAGCAGTAAAGGCGGCCATGTTCCAGTGCTATCCTGTTAGGTGAGGGGTTGTCCTGGCCATTGTTGGGGCTCTCAGGTCACTTTCACCATAGCTCATGAATGCTGCAGGCCCAGGGGTAGGGCCAGAGCCCCTGAGGGACGGCACCCCAGGGTTTCAGGCAGGCCGTGGCACAGCCCTGGCAGGAACACCTCCTGGTCCCTTCTCACACTAGGAGGCTGTTGGTCTCTGCAGCCAGACAGCCCGGGGCTAGAGTCCCAGCTGTGAACCTAGGACTTTGGGAAAGCCACACATGCCTTCAAGGCCTCGTTCTTCAGGATCTCTAGCGTGGGCGTCTTCCGTGGGAGCCTTCTGGGAGCTCGGGGTTCCTGGGTGTGTGGGAATGACTCCAGGCCTGGTGCTGAGGGCACCCCAAGCCGTAGTACCTGTTTCTGGAGGGTGGAGGCTGCCTCCTCCTCAGTGCCTTCATACCCTGGCCCTGAGGCCAACACAGATGTTGGTCCATTTGAAGGCTGGGAGTCCAGCACACACACTCCTGGGGCTGCCACCCCGCAGGAGGGCTAGGAGCTCTGCACTGCGCTCAACCTCTTTCATTTTTAGGGAAACTCCAGGGGGCCTGAGGTCACGCAGACCCCAGCAGAGCAAACCACAGGCAGCTGTGTACAGCACTGGAAAGGGGATGTGTGTGTCAGAGGGTGTCCAACCATGCAGCTGGGACCGCCTCCCCCATTCCCTGAGGCTCGGTGTGCACAACTCCATGGAACATGGTGTCACAAGTGCAAAAACAGGATCCCCTGCTCAGAACTTAGCTGGAGTTCAGGGTGGCCACAGTGGGGCACAGAGCCAAGTGGGGAGCGAGGGTGACAGTACACAACAAGCCCATAAAACTGGCCTGGGGATACATGCAGATGGATTTTTTTAAAAAGGGTTTTTAAAAAACTCTCTACTGGCACAGAAATGTACCTGACATGCCAAAGCCTATCCTCATGTGGCTATCATCTCCTTGGAGAGGTTTCCTTTTGGAACATGTCTGCTTTGATTTTGAAGAGACAAGTGAAGTGAAAAAGGTGAGTCAGGAACGGCACCTGTGGTTAATGAATGTGGGCACAGCCCGTAAGAGGAGGGCGAAGAACCAGGCAAGGCTGCTGGGAGGGCAGGGGCTGGGGGAGCAGGGCGTAGGGGCAGGCGGGGCTTGCGGCAAAGCCCGGGCTCACGGGACCCACACCCTGGGACCGCAAGCTCCACTTGCCACCCTGTCTGCCAGTGCATCTGAGGGCCGCAGCTGCCCAGAACAGGGCCATGGCTGGAGCCTCAGAAGTGGGGAGAAAGGGAACTGGGCTCTGGGTGAGCAGGCCTCGACAGAACACACCTGGGGTTCTGCATCCTGACAGGCAAGGTCGCATGCACCGTGCCCGACGTTCTCCATCTGCCCAGGACACAGCACCAAAAGCAGGGCAGTCCTGGGTAGACCTGGGTGGCTGGTGTGCTGATGATCAGAGAGGCCGCTTCTGCGAGCCACCTCCACACCTAGACGCTTTCCCCCCTGCACTGCCTGGTCAGCTCGTGAAGAAGCCCCTGCTACCACGTCTTACCCTTCTGGGCCCCATTAGTTCTCATGACTTGCATCCTCATTTTTTTTTTCCCCAAGGGGTTTTGTTGCCACCTTTCCTGCTCTCTAGGCTGGGGAGTCCCTTGATAGAAATAATCTAGTGTTCAGCTCATCACAGGTCCCCTGCAATCCGGCCCCAGGCCCAGAGCATGCTGGGAGGTTGAGGAATGTTCCTGCATTGGGACTGACCTCATCCTATCACCACAGCAATAGCTGGCCCAGGGGTCAGGCATGGTTCTGAACCTTTGCCACCACCCTAGCCTGGGTGCCACCTCATCTGCAGGACATTACCCCACTAACACAATTCCCATGTCCTTGCAGTCACTTAAGTGGTTTCCAGGTACACCAACAAACTCCTGACTGGGGCCTTTCCTATAACACAACGGTTCTTAAAACCACCTAAGGAGTTTGAAGAATCCTGATGCCCGGCTTGGTGCCTGACGCAACGGGGACTGGGCCCAAGGCTAGTCTTTTCATGTTCCCCATGTGACTTTAGATGGGTAACTAGGTTTTAGAGCAAATGCTGAAACTGTGTGTTCTCGCCATTACATGCTGAAAACTGCACTTCAGTTAAGTCTGCAGCATCCAGGGACTTTTCTCTTTATATTCTCTCTCTTTTTAAAAAAAAATAATTTTATTGAGAAACAAATAGCAATGAGACAATTTCAAATCAAATTGGTAGGACAGTTTCAATAATTAACACATTGCATACTGTCTTCCTAGTGGTTATTTGTTGTACAAGATGCAGACATGATACCCTATTTACAAACACTATTAGAACAAATCCCTCTATTCACTGAATTAAGAGAATGCAGCTATATTGGGTCTTCCGCTTGATTGGCAATGTCAGAAGTTGTTGACCTGAGTCCCCTACGGCTCAACATAACAGCATGGCTTTATATTCTCAGTGGCCCCCTTATTCCCTTGAAAGCACTCCCTGGCCAGCCCCGTAGTATAGAGACCACAGCTGCATAGACAGGGACACCATGCAGTACCCAGCAGGGCCCTGGCTCCCGGGACCTGTGGCTGCCCCCTGCCTGCCACAAGGACCAGGGAATCTTTCCCTAGAGGACACCCCAGGACTGCCCCCATCATCCTCCACGCAGCACTGGATGTGTGGCTAACAATAAGCAGGGGGCAGGGAAGCTCTGCTGTGTGTTCTCTGCCGAGGCCTATGATATACATGTTCCCACCCTGAGCTACTGCAGCCTCGCAACCTGGAGTTCTTGATCACAGACCTTGGAAGAGACAGCATAAAGTAGTCCCTATGTGCACCCATGTTCCCACGGTCTCAACAGTCCCTGGCTCAGTTTATCAGCTGCCCTCAGATGTCAGCTGCTCAGTCCGTGGGGGCTGCGAAGCTTAGAAGCCTTCCTGGCTTCTAAGCCTTTGCTTTGACACAGCATAGGCCTAGGGATAGCAGCCTCACAGGTCTGGCTCCCTCGGCCTCTGATCAAGCTCAGTTGGACCTTACAGACCACATGGGGGATCTTCAAGGACAAACCTAATTCAGCTCCCTGTAATGTGAACTGGCTGTGCCAGCCCAGAAGCTTGTGCACACAGCAGGTGCTCAATATATGTTGAATGAGCTGGTCTTTTACAAAGAACTCTCCCTCCAGTTTTCGTTTCACCCTTAAATGCCCCTGGCTGGTAAGAAGAGTGGGCGTCACTGGCCTCATTGGACAGGGGGACACACCAAAGCACGGCAGGGATTTGTCAAGGACACCAGAGTCTCTGAGCAACAGTACGGGGCTCCCTGGCCCACACCCAGGGCACTGGCGCAGGTCGCCTCTGGGAAGGGGTGGTGCGTCCCCATGAGGACTGCAGCACACACCACACTCTGCAGCAGCCAACCTGGAGGCACTGGAGGGGGCACAGCCCCCTGGGGAGTGTGGCTGGGAAGCAGTGGTCTTAGAGGTGCTGGGGGCTGGAGGCAGCTACTCACATCGGGAACGAAGGGAGGCTCCAACATGCCAGCCTCCAAGCGCTTGAAGTTCATGCTCCGGAAGAACGGGTGCCTCTTGACCTCGGCGGCGCCCTCCTCCTGGCAGCCCAGCCTCTGCTTTGCGTCTTTGGTGAGCAGCTGTGACAAGAGAGCCCCGTGAGCATGCCAGTGGGCCCTTCCTCCTGCCTGAGGGGCTGGCTGCTCACTCTGCCCCATCGCGTCCTGTGCCTCTGGGGATCTCTGTTCCTTCTCCACCTCCAGAAAAGATGTGCCCCCCAACCCGCACCCAAACACAGGCCAGCAGGCCAAGACCAAGTCACATCTCTGAAGGACTAAGTCCTCTATTTGGTCACTGACAATGTCCACCAGTGGTGTCAGGCTAGTGTCCAACTGTGGCTTCTTTGCTTTAGTGCAAAGAACTGAGCTCTCATCTCTGTTCCCAGGTTCCCCGTGGAGAGCCTGGACCTGTTGCTGCGGCCTGAAGCCTGTGCTGGCTCAGTGTAGGTGGCAGAAATGAAGGCAGTAAAGATAAGCAGTGGGCTCCACACGCAGGAATGTCTGCCAGAGCCCAGCGTGTTCGCTTTTCAAGAGATGCCAGAAAACAGTTTTTCTGTGAAATTTCATTTTAAAATCTTAGCAATTTGCCTGTCACTCGCCTCTTTCTAAAACACTCCATACAGGCTGAACACGGCACCTACCTGTAGGGCCAGTTTGGCAGCATGATGTTAGGCCTGCCTCATGGGGAGAGCAGGAGTGAGCTGGGGTGGGTGGGCAGGCACAGAGGGCTTCTGGGAGGGGAGGACCTCAGAGGGCCAGAAGGACAGGTGTGACCTGGACGCTGGAAGGCCAGTACGATGGACCCAGCTTGGGGACCAACAGGAGCCTAGGAAGGCGGAGGCTGAGGTCTGAGCCAAGGGCCCAGATGCAGGGAGAGGGCAGCGAGATGCGCCACCTTCTGCTCCTCAGGGGCCAGGGCTGCCTAGGTCTGCCAACAAAGGATCCGGGAGACTGCTTCCTTGCTCTTCCTAGAGCAGCCTTCTTGGGCTTGGAAGGTGGGAGCTGCCAGAGTCCAGGGGAGCGCCATGGGCCAGGGCCTCCAGGGTTTCCCCGAGACAAGTCTGCAGTGTCTGGAGCTGCGCCTGCTGAAGGGGGCAGGGCAGAACTGGACGCCAGACCTAAGACATTACTGTTAAGGGTGAGGACAAGGCCCAAGACTAGAGTAGCAGGACACCAGGATTATTTGTAAGAGAAGGTGGTGGTTCTTCCATGGGAAAGAGAGGACCAGCAGGCCCGGCCGCTGCCTTTCCCTCAGTGGCCAGGAGGAGGCAGCAGAGGGACAGCAGCATCCCAGGTTGCTGCAGGTGATCCCAGGCCAAAGCTGGTGCTAAAAGATTCCTGAGGGTGTGGGTAGGAGTTCCCTCTGCCTACTTAAACTCTCAGCGTGTCCCCTGTCTCAAGACCTTCCCAGAATTCCTGACGCTGAGCTGGGACAGTCAGCAATGCGCTGAGCACATCTGACACCCTCTTGCATGGCCCGGTCCAGCCTGGCCGCTGCCGCTGGGGAGATTCGCTGCCATGGCACCACCCAGCATTGCCAGCACCCAGGCTTCCAGTTCCCTGACCCCAACTTTGGCTGCAGCCACTGTGTGGGTCCCTTTGAGCCTTACAGCCTGCGGGCCAACAGGCTGCGCAGCTTGTGGCACTTGACCCCAGCTCCCCACTCTGTGCCTCACACGTGAATGACAGATCTACGGTTCCGAGTCCTCCTTCCCATAGCTCTGTGATGTCAGACAGAAACTGGTAGCCGGAAGTGGTGGAGAGAGGATGGGGAGCTGCTGGAGAGGGGGCTCCGGGGCTGGGGAGCTGAACTCCTCAGTTCCTGGTCGCTTGTGTGGGCCTGGGGTTGCTGGTAGCACCGGGAGCCAGACCACAACAGCTTTCCTCAGCCCCCTCAACGCTAGGCTGCGCTGATTCTGCCCTGCACTTGCCCTAAGGTGTCTGGAAGCAGAAAGGTGGAAGGCAGAAGCAGAGCGAGCCCTCTGGGGTCCGGCCTGACCTTCTGCTGTTCTGCTCCAGGAGGGCTCTGTGGACTCACAGCTGTGCACGCGGCACTTGGCCTTCCTTGTTCTCACAGGGCTGGCAGCAGAGGGCAGAAGCCTGCAGTCTGGACTTGGGAGCTCGAGAGCCAGGCAGGAGCAGGAGGTGGCCATTTCCCTGCAGAGCCCAAGGCAGGGCCGAGGGCCAGCCCTCGAGGGGGCCCCACCTGGGCAAGGGGTGGGCAGGGGTTCAGGTGGCCCCACCCCAGCTCCACAGGTCCAATGGAAGTGTCACTCCTTCCTCCCTCTGGCTGCCAGTCCACAGGCAACCCTATCCACTCAACCTGTCTGAATAGCAGTCCTGTGTGTGTCCTATGCACAGGTAGAGCAAATCTCACTATCTCTAGACGCCATCCAACAGAAACTGAGCTGGTGTCACCAGCATTCTGCCTGGTGGATGGAATATATGGCTCAAAGACTGAAGATATCACTCTCCCTCCTGCATCCCTTAGTGCCATGAGGTCCAGAGCTAGGGAGAGGAGGCCCAAGGCCAATGGGCCTCAAGGTCCCCCTGTACCTCATGCACCAGCTTGGGCCTTCAGTTTTTACCGTGACGACTTCCTTACTTGGACGTGAGGGTATCAGTGCCCATAGCCCCCTTCCCTTGCTTGCATCATGGCGTACCCTGACCCAACTCCAAGAGTCTCCTGAGGCCTCTGCCCATCACCCCAGCCCCCAGCAGGGAGCACCAGCACTCTGCTTGCTGGGCTGCACCACCCATACCCATGTCCTGACCCTGTCCCTTCAGGCTGTTTGGTGCCTGAGGACAGGCTGGGGCTGGGAGGGAGCTGGCACCAACAGCAGCCTGAGGGCGGCATCCAGCCCACCAGGAGCTCACCATCCTGCAGATGGACTTGGCCTCCTCCGAGAACTTGTGGGAGTATGCCTCCTCGGTCTCCAGGACCCGGCGGTCCACCTCTTCCCGCTTCACCTTTTCCTTGCGGCCCCGGAACGGCGACTGCCCCTCGATCATCTCGTAGATGAGGCAGCCTAGGCCCCAGTAGTCGGGGCTTAGGCCATAGCGTTGGTTGTTCAGGACCTCTGGAGCTGGGGCGAGGAGAGGGGAAGGTAGGTGAGGGCCAGCTGGCTGCGGGACAAAGCTGAGCACATGGGCCAGCCCTGCCTGCTCCTGCCCCGGCTGGGCCTTGTGTGTCCTGTACCCAAGTGTTGGCCTTTCACTGCTGGGACCTGTCCACACCCTCCTCTACCCACCAGCTGCTGTAGGTGCCACCTCCACCAGGGTGCCCACTCTCATGGTGCTTCTCTGTGCCCCAAAGGGCTCTGATTGTGGCTTCAGAACTCTGACCACAGTGGATGGACATGTCCTGCCTCCCTGATGTCTCCCCAGCTATAACATGTGCTGCCCTTTCATGGCCCTGTCCCAGTGACAGGGATGGCACCTGGCACACGGCAGGTGCTGTGCAGATCCTTTTCTCAGCAAATAAGGGTGTATCCACTCAAGTAAGAATGATTTAAAATGTTTCTGGAATCCAGACAACCTTTTTCTATGTCTTCCCTACTGCTCTGATAAAATGAATTGCAGATTCACTATAGAGGTATAAAAAACCCAGCTTTATGCCGTCAGCAGCCAGAGGCAGCTGCATGGTACACACACTGGTGTGAGGATGATGTGGGCCATGTAGACAGTAGCTATAGTTCTGCGTGCAGGACACTTGGGCAAGCGTTCAGGCAGATGGACCTGCAGGCATACAGTCTAGTGTACCTGGTGTCCACCCGTCCCCCTCATTATCTATATATGCGTCTGTAGCTAGCAGTACCAACATCAGCATACACACACACACAAACACACATACACGTTTGCACACAGATACTGCAAAAGTTGCCAAATATCACACAATCCAAAAGGAACCCTTCAGCACCAGAGACAAGTACTGAAACCCAGCCTGCTATAGGCACAAGCCTGGCAGAAGACAAGAGGGCACCTGTTCCCAGGGTCCCCAGGCCCTCTGCCCCCAGGGTCACTCGGGCATGCATGTGAGGTGTGCATGAGGTAGCCCAGGGGATACCCCCTTTTGGAAGGGGGTACTCAGGTCCCCAGATTTAGTTCCAGGTCCTCTTCCTGAAGTCCCCGGGATGTTGGAACACACTGAAGGGGGGCAGGGCGGGTCCCTACTCGGAACCATGCTTGATGCCACAGCAGGTCCCACAGAGTGGAGGTCTTCCTAAGGGGCTCCCCCCAGGGGTGCCCCAGAACAGAATGGCAGTCTACTTGCCACCCACCCCGATTCCTACAAGACCTCCTCCAGGGGGGCTCTGTGCCAGGCTCTGGCCACCAATCCCTGTCCCCAAGGGAGACACAGCTTTGAGACAGCCAGGTTTGGCTCCATTTAGCTAAGACACATCCCGGGTCCCAGCTGACACTCCCTGGCTGAGGCTTCCCAGCAAGCAGCCCTATGGGTGACCACAGCTCCACTTCTGACCAGGGTGCCAGACCGGGAAGCCACAGAGGTGACCGGGGAGCCGCAAGGGTGAGCCCTACTCACCCATGTAGCCAACAGTGCCCACCCGGCCACGGATCAGGTCTCCCTCAGGGATCTTCACTGCCAGCCCCAGGTCCGAGATCCTGATGTGGCCTGTGGGGAGCAGAGCATAGGACACTTGGCCTCTACCTGAGCAGGGCCACAGGCTGGAAAGGCATGCGGGTGCCCAGCATCCTCATCAGTCTGACACAGAAGTGACCCGAACCTGCCTTCTCAGGGTGACCAGGACTTGAGAGAGTCCAGGTGTGATGTGACATGCTTAATGATACTTTTAAGGAATAAAATATAAAGATGCAGAAGGATGCCTGGATTTGGCTGGACACTGGCCAAACCTACCTATAAGAAGCCCTCACAGGCTTCCTGGAAGGCTGGGGTCACAGAGCGTAAAACATCCTGGCCCAGCTCTCGGATTGCTTCACAGGAAAACTGAGATTCCCTTGACATTTTGCAACAATTTGCTTAAGGGAAAAGAATTATAAAGCAATTTGGAAAGCAACTCTCTGCCCTGCTGTGTTGGTCTTTAGGGGTGTCTGTTTTTCTTTTTCCTTTTGGAGAAGCTAGAAGGGCAAATGTTGGGCCTGGCCTGGCGGGACATGGAAATGAAACCAATGATAATAAAACACCAATTCCAGGGCTGGAGGCATCCTGCCGAGAGCGCCCCCTCTTCCTTTGGCAGGGTCGTTGCTACCTCATACCCCCGAAGGAAAGAGCACGGCCCCTTGTGATATTGCCAGGTGACCTGGGCAGGCTGGCTCCTCAGAGCCTCAGTCTTGTTATCTGTAAAATGGGCCCACGATGCCACCCTGTCCCTCCCTAGAGATGGGACAGTCTAGTGAGGCAGGAGAAGGGGAACCACTTTCAGGCGTGAGGCTGAACTGTGCAGGCATCACTCTCGCTACCCACACGCTCACATCCAAGAGGAAACAGCAAGGGCGTACACAGAGCCACTGACACGAGGCAGGCCGGTGCCCAGGGAATGCCAGCCCTCAGCCAGCACCCTGCCTGGGCCCTCTGCCCTTCCCTGGGCTTGGTCATGCTGCTTCTCCATCACACAGGAGCTTCATTCATGCCCATCTCTGCCCCTGAGCTTGGGGCTGGGGGATAGAAGCGGGGGGCCTCTGCCCCACTGGCCCCTGCCCTCTGCCGGTCCCTGGCAGCTCTTCCTCTGGGTGGCCCTGACAGTCACCTCCACTACCACATCAGAAAAGGCTCTCCAAGCCTCTCCCCAACTTACCATAGTCGTCCAACAGGATGTTTTCAGGTTTGAGGTCTCTGAAAGGGACAGATAAGAAGCATCTGAGTGTGGCGGGTCTGGACAGCAAGGACACAAGGGCATCTGGGTTGACTGCCTTGAGCCACGGGGGCCTGCGTCCACTGGGGGGGGTCTCCTTTCCACCCGGGGCCAGACCATCTGGTCTCTGGGTCAAGACCATCTTGAGCTTATTTCTTTCCTTCCAGTAATTAAAAAAAAATGCTGCCATCTGCTGTGGCCATCTCCTTGACATGGGGATGTGACCAGGGCCAGGAAAGGCCCGCCCTGCCTGGCACCTGTCCAGACACGGATGGCTCTGGGGCTGAGGAGTCTGGCTGGTCTGCTGAGAGACCCTTGATAGCTGGGAAGACCCCAGTGTCTCAGACACCTGAAGGCAGAGTAGGTCCTGGGGATAAAAGGAGTGACTGAACTCGTGGCACCAGAGGGTACGGCGAGGGCCCAGGAAATAGACCCATGTGGGACAGGCTCCCAGGAGGCTGGTGTGGCCCCCAAATGCAACCCAGCCTTGGGAAGTCGAGCCACAGGGCACAGCTGTGATTTCAGCTGCTTCACCCTGCTCCTAGCCCATCTTCTTTCAAATAACAGGATCTTGCCCCTCCAGGATGGGGAGTAGGCAGCAGAAGGGCCTGGCGCCCTGGCTAAAGGTCTTCTCTGTGGGTAAAGGAATAGTCCAGAGAGTGGCGTGTGCACCTCAGCTACCCTGCAGGACAAACAGATCTGGGGTCCAGTTCTACTGGCTTTATTTAATGGATGCCAGCTCTCCTCACAGCTGGTTGCTTAATGTACCCGCACCTGCTGGGCAGCCTCACAAAATACTAGTGTTTGCTTGTATACTTGTGTATTACAAAAAAAAGTGGTTTTTTTTTTTTTTTTTTTTTAATGTATTTGGTTTAGGGTCTTACTATGCAGCTTGGACTCATAGTGATCCTCCTGTTTCAGCTTCCCCAGTGCTGGGATTACAGGTGTGTGCCACCATGCCTGGATTCAGTGGCTGGCTCAGCACACCCGGGGGTGGGGCTGGCTCGGCATGTGGTGCCAGGGATCAGAGCCCGGTAACTGAGCTTGCCTAAGCAGGTGTCTAGTCCACTGAGCTGTCTTGCTGGCCCTTACAAAGTATTTTGTTGCTGTTATTTCATCACCTTTGGCTGTATTGAGTGGAAGACAGGAGAGGATAGGAGGGAGGGTGGACATTATCAAAGCATTACACATGTATGGAAAAGCCAGTGAAATTTGTATGATTAATATGCATTAATAGGGTTTGGGGAGATGGCTCAGTAGAATAAGCACTTCTCTGGCAAGCGCAAGGGCCTGAGTTCAAACCTTGGTTCCGCCAAAACAAAAACAACAACAACAAAAATGCATTAATAAATTTCAGACAAAGCCAAACCCATCGCCTCAGTAGCCAGCTTGCTGCACTGGAATGCCCGCTCACCAAGGGGCAGGGGCAGAACCTAGCCCCCCAAGAGGCCACAAAAAACAGTGGTCAGCCAGGGAGCAGGCACTGGTTTCTGGCCTCCCTAGAGAATCGGAGCTTGGGCGAGGAGCAATTTCTTTTTGTTTCTTTCAAGTAAAAGACAATCAAGGAGGATTCTGTTTTTCAACCCTTAGGAAAAATGTTCTGACTCTCTTTTCACTTGAATGAAAACAAAACAAAAACAGGCAGGGGCTGGGATCAGGGAGGCCGTGGCAGGAAGAGCATTCTTCTTTACAAAATCTTGAGTTCTCAAAAAAAAAAAAAAAAAAATCTCCACCAGAGCTCCATGCACAGCTCCCTGCCCGCGCCCCGGGGCCGTGTGGGTGCCCAGGGTCTGCTGGGGCCCCATGCCTGGGGTGAGCTTCTTGACATCGTCCGCACCTGTTGGGAGCTTCCCATGTATGGTTTAGATGGGTGGGGATGAAAGGTGTGACGGAGCTACCGTAAATGGATTCCACTGCACCTCTTGAAAACTGCGATGCAACTGTTCAATTTTCAAACATCAATATTTTCCTCCACTTAAACCTATGATGGACGATTTTAATGTCTACTTCAAGTGTGGTTTGCACAAAGATTTTTAGAATCCTCTACGAAGGGTTGTAATGATCACGTGAAGTCCATGACTCCCTGTGGCGAGGATCTGGACATGTGGCCTTAAGAGTCCAGCTGTGTGGCACAGAGGTCAACGAAGAGGCTGAAGACAGGCTGCGGCAGGATATGCGCCACTAGGAAGCCTGCTTGAGGACAGCGACCCTCTCTAGGACTTCCTGGGCCGATGATTCCAGATGGTGGCTACTGGGGACCACTGAACCTCAGAGCCAGGTTAGCGAGGACGGGTGGTCATGGCCTGTCCTCAGACAGGAAGAAAAGTTAGTCTGTGGAAGATTGCTTCACATGCTTGGTTTCCCAAGTAGCAGAGGCCAGAGAACACAGCCGGGGGTGGTCCTGCTCACCCGCTCAGTTCCAGAAGCCTCTATAAGAATTCATCCGACCCCACACCTCATCTTGTGTACCTGGTCCTCAGTGTGGGGACGATATCCCAGGAGAGAGCTGCAGGGTGCCACCCCACCCATTCAGACCCACAGAGCTTGCTCACCTGTATACTGTGTTCTCCCGATGCAGGTCCTCCAAGCCACAGAGGATCTCAGCGGCATAAAACAAGGCTCGCTCCTCCTCAAAGCCCGGGTTCCCCATGTTGTAGATGTGGAACTTCAGGTCACCCCCGTTCATGATGGTTAGGACCAGACACAGTGCGTCCTTGGTCTCATAGGCGTAGGCCAGGTTGACCTGGGGGCCCACGAGCAGTGCCACAGTGAGGCCACGAGGACTGCCACCCACTTCCACTTCCCTCCCCAGGATCTTTGAAGCAAGGCTGGGTGGTAGAGGTAGACACAGCAGCCTCATACCACCAACCTGCATCCAGACAGCCGCTTGGTGATACTGCCTGTTGCCTCTCTGATAAAGGACTCACACCCAGCTCCTCCCAACAAGGGGCTCAAAGTGAAGAGTGAGGGAGAGGGGCAGGCAGTACCCCACCTTTCCCAAGGTCTTACTAGGATGGTCTGTGCTGCACACTGAAAGCACACGTGTCCATCGCTGCTTAGACCTGGATGCTATCTTGCTGGGTGGTCAGAAACGCAGGGCTTGGCTGCCCTCTGGGCCATGGGGACTCAGTATGACAGGGGGGACAAGGCTGGGTCTGGCCAGCCATGGGGCTTCAGGGAGTACAACATAGTCTGACCCAAACTTTCTTTTGCATGTAGGACATGTCTTGTCCGCCTCTCAAGGCAGCCACCAACAGAAGTAGGTCCGGCCCCAAGGTGCTACCCCTGAAGCTGTGGGATAGCAAGAGAGGTAGTGGGATTGAAGTGCTGGGATTGAAGCCAATGACACCAGGTAGAGCTCCTTCTCTGTTCCACTGTGTGAGCCTGCCTAAATGAAATCTAGCCATCATGGACCAGGCTTGGCTGTAACACTTGAGTGTAAACCTCAGGAACAGTAATAGTTACTTCAGAGGACAGGAGACACTGAGGGTCAGCAAGCGCATGGGGACTGTGCCAACACCTGCTTTACCTGCCCTAGCTGCCCCGTCCCTCCCACATCTGCCCAGTGATCCTCAACATGGGCTCCTGAAGCAGTGCTACAGTTTGCATGAGTGCCCCCCAGGCTCACGTATGAAAGGCTCAGTCTCCAAGCTGGTGTTGCTGGGAGATGCTGGAGGAGGGGCTAGTAGGATGCCCAAAGGCCTCTGTCACACACCCAGTCCTTTTCCCATCTCTCTCCTGCTTCCTGCATTATGATGTAAGTAGTGTTGTTTTGTCACATGTTCCCATCAGGTTGAACCACTTTCGGAGAAACCCAGAGCAAGGGGGCCATCTGATCTTGGAGTAGGGTCTCTAGAAATTTTCTCTTTATAAGCTAAGTGCCTCTGATCTGTTGTTATAATGATGGAAAGCTGACTAATACCAAGCACACTGGAGGAACTCCTTGCTGGGGCCATGCAGGGTGCAAGGTTAGGGAATATCCAGCCATCACAGCCAACGGAGCTGTAGTGGCTCAGGTGTGTCAGGTACGTGACCCTTTTCTCTGAGCACTGCCTGTTACAGGTGAGGGCTCCACTGCTAGCACTGAGAAAGCAACCAGGGGTCAAAGAGGCTTAGGCAACAACTGACTGTTGCTTGCCTGCCCACTTCTTCCGGCCACGGAGCACAGCACGACCAACCCCTTCTTCCTGTACAAGGCTGGCAGTTGGGAACAGGCTGGGATGAGACCAAGAGACCCAAACTTGTCTCCACCGAGTATTACTTTATAAAACCACCTTTCCTGGTGAATGACTGAAGGACTAGGCTGGTGGTGGCGTCTCAGTACAGTCAGTGGGAGTCTCACAGGGGCAGCCACTTGAGAACTGCTATCAAATGCCAGAGCTGCACAGATAATTGTTACAGAAATTCCCCAGGAATTTAGCTTATGGCTACACTCGCAGAGATAGGCTGGAGGGGTGTTCCAAGATGGACAGCGTGCCACCACTTGAGGTGGACAGCGTGCAGTTTGTAGTGGTTTGAAAATGATAACATTTGCCTCTGTGGGGACTGGTTACCCAGATTACTGTTTCAGAGCAATGATGTGCAGCTTTCAAAGGAAGCTGTGACAGCCAGGTGCGGTGGTGTAGGCCTATGACCCCAGCACTCCTGGAGGCCGAGGCAGGAGGACTATGAGGTTGAGCACAGCCTGGTTACTTCAGCGACTCAGCGAGACCCTTTCTCAAAACAGTAATAATAATAAAAAGGAGTGGGGATGGAGCTCAGTGCAGAGATTCTGGATTGAAGCACCAGCATTGAAAAATACTGGACAGAGACAAAAGTATCGCAGCATAAGATGTATAGGAAGATCCTGCTGGCTAAAAATAATAAAGCCTATGCATGAATAAAACATGTCTGGAATGATTACTCAAAGAGGGAGGCATTTATTTTTATTGTGTACTCTCTCTGCTATTTGAATTTTTCACATTGTGCATATATTAGCTTTTATAATCACACGTAGCAGAGACATTTAAAGCTGACCAAATACCCAGCAACTCCTCCACATTTCCCAGCCTCCCCTGCAGCTAGCTTATTCCTTGAAGTAACAACAGACTGGGTGGAAGGGTGAAATGCCAGTCCCTCTGTGGCAATGAAAAGTCCCTGTGGAGATGTTCACAGGGACTTTTCATTGGGGCATTGGGGCACTGGGCGAATGGGCATTGGGCTCTCACTGTAGTTTTGCTCCCTATGGTCTGTGTGACCTCAGCAAACCCACATAGTTATTCCTGAAGGCTCCAAAGGAAGGAGGTTGGTCCAATGTGCTTGTACTTGCTGTGACTGACAGATAAGCTTTTGCTGCCTGTGGCTATTCACAGTCTCATCTGTTACTGCAGCAGAGCCTCGCCTAGACTAACACAGTGCCTCCCTAGGAAACTCTACCTATGGTCTCCACTATGATGAAACCAGCCCAGAGGGTCTGTGGGACCAAAGCTTCTTGGCTGGGTTCAGGGTGGACTTGTTTGCTCACTGAGGAGTTAACAAGGTGGTCTGGGGTGCCAGTCACCACCAGCTCTGGTGACAAGACAGCCATGACAGGCCTCCAGGAGCCTTGCAGCAGAGGAAAGGTCTGGCTGCCTTTCTGTATCCTTCTGGATCTTCTTCCTGACCTCGGAGGTGGGGCCCTGCCATACTAGAGGACCACAGAAGGGAGGTCCTGGTCATCAGAAGTGCGGGTCTGATGCTGGGCCAAGACACTCACCACAAACTGGCTGTTGACCTTCTCAAGAATCTGCTTCTCATTGAGCGCCATGGACTCTCCTTTTCTCTTTTTGATCCTCTTCTTCTCCAAGCGCTTGCAGGCGTACATTTTACCTGTGGCCCGAACCTGGCAGGCACAGACCTGAGGTACAAGAAGGTCACCAAAGTCACAGGGCACTGAAATGGTCTGTCCAAGCCCCTCCAAGGCCAGGAAGCCACGGGCCCACAGGACCCCATTGGCCACTGTTGCACCGGCCCTGGCCTTTTGAGCACATGAAGGTTCAGGATCAGCCCTTGATCCAAATGTGTGTCACAGGCCTTAAGCACTGGCCCGCTTGTAGGAGGGACAACTGAAGTTTCTCCTGCAAGTTGCCAGCAGGAGAGGCTTGATTTTGCTCAGTGAAAGGAGGCCTTCTGGAATCCCGACTACAATGCAGAACAATAGCAACGGGGCATTGGGCTCGCACTGTAGTTTTGCTCCCTACGGTCTGTGTACCCTTAGCTGGCCACATAATTATCCCAAGCCTCAGCTTTTCTCCGAAATGGGAGCAACACAGCTAGGTCTCACATATGGGTCAGCTAATGTACAGTGAAATCTCTGTTCCAGTAACAACACGTGGCCATAACAATATCTCTGCTTTAGCGTCTCCTCCTGGAATACGACCCAGAGACGAGCCCACCTCTCCCCAGCGCAGCCCTGCATGCAGTTGCAGAAAGGCTGACTCCAGTTTACCTGCCCTGTGGCTCCTGCCAACAGCCCTTTTCCCTCCACACACAGCACAGTGCCCTAGGGCCTGGGACCCTCCCACACCCCCACTGGCTGCCACTAGATGGTTCAAGGCTGCCCTGCTTAGGGACACTTCCAAGCAGGTCTACAAAGCACAGGAAGGGCAAGCAGAGCCTGGGAACTGTCAGTAGATAGAACTGCAGCTCACTTACCTCCCCGAAGCCCCCTTTCCCCAGCACTCGGTACTGCCTGAAAGTGTTTTTGGTCACCGGTTGCCTAGAAGGAAGCAAGAACCTGCCATTGGTCTCCTTGAGTTGCAGCTCAGGATCCATAAGAAATGGACCTGGGATTGTAGGGGCACAATCCCAGGCCTCTGATGGCCCCAGGAATCATCAATGCAGACTGGATCTTCATAGGCTTACTCTGGGGCTGGTGTTCAGATCCCAGGCTCCTGGCTCTGGTGGCCAGGGTCCAAACAGTCCTGACTTGGTCAGCAGGGTGGGGCTTGGACTTGAAAATTGAGCCTAGCATGTTCAGCTGTACCATGTGTGGTGTCCCTCTCCCTGGAATGGGTATCAGAGGGGATCTCTAAGGGTGGAGGGAGACCACAGTCCTTCCCGCACCTGCACAACAGCAGACCACACTTCCTTTCCTGTAGCACCTGTAGCTCCTAGTGACAAAATCTGCTAGCTTTGGCTCTGGTCTGGGTGCTCTTTTAATCATCAGTCCCCAACCATCCTCCAGCCAGGAACCCTTAATTATATTTCTCTCATCCACCCAGGATGCTAGAAGACCCTGAATGTCCATGGCTGTAGTCATGAAGTGATTGTCACACTGTCCTGACATCCATTTTAATGGACCCAAACCACTCACCACATCTACTCAGACAGTTCAGACTTCCAGGAGTAAGCAAGCAAGAGGCCAACTCTCTGAACCAGGAACTTATTTTTCATCCCTGGCCTGTGGCTACAAACAATCTGTTTAGAATATGAAGGTTGGCTCTTGGATCCCCATGACTGTTGGTGAGCAACCCTCTCCCCAGGATTCCTGACCAGCGGCTGAGGGAAGGCCAAAGTGCTAGGGCAGTTCCAGGAAGCCCAGGGTGCCTCCAGGAGCTCTTGTGCAGAGCCCTTCTTGCTGCTGGGGCCTGAAGATGTTTGGATCTCAAAGGTTGCAACATCTTTAGCACCATAGCCACTCTTAGGACAACTCTAAAAAGCCAGAGTACTCTGGGGCCTCCATGTCTCCAATTCACACACGGGGACTCACTGGTGTTTTCCAGGGAAGTGGAGCCCAGTCCCCATCCGCAAAGCTGCCCTCTGCAGCCCCTTCCCTTTCCTCCTTCCACACAGAGCACTCAGGCGGCCCAAGAGCAAATCTGCCCTGCACTGGCACCCGCCATGCGGCCCCGGGAGCCCTTCCTACAGCTGCCCTCGAAACCACATGAAGGCGGCCGGGGCCTAACAGTTTACGATACATGGAGAACAAACAGTCGGTCGACATTACCGCAGAATTCATCGGCTGGGGGAAATGAGTGTAATACAATTTCCCAGGAATTTTTTGGTTAACCTTGGAAGGGAAAAAATCCCTTTAATATTTCAACAGTACAGCACTCACAGGCCATGATCTTGTTTGGAAAAAAAAAAGGGGGGGAGGGGGAGGCAGGGTGCTGTCAGTCATTTGGGGCCAGGATCTTGCCCTGGTGGCTTCAAATACTTAATGCCTTCCAAAGGACAAATGCTTAACTTCTCTGTAGTCTGTGTACAGATTAGAAATACATATCTCATGCACTTGGTACAGACAAGGAAAATGAAAACCAGTGGCCACAGTACTCCACAGGAGCTAGTGCTGGTGGGCTAAGAGCTGAGAGCTGGAGTGAGGGACAGTGGGTTCAGGATCCATCCTCACCAGCCTCTATGTGAGGCCAGAGCCTGCCCGCCCCCCTCTCCGAGCCTCACATCTCTTGTAAAGGGAGAAAATGGACAGCCTGTGTATGCACCCTAGGGTCCCTTGTAGGCTGCTATTCACAGCATCAATACTAGAACACCTTGGGGTGAAAGGCTGGGTCCTTGTGGGGTCTCTATGTAACAACACCCATTGTTCGATGCACCTGCACGCAGGCTCGTGTCACCTTGCACTGGCCTCAGGAGGTGGGACTGTGCTGTCACCACTCCAGGTGAGAACATTTAGCATTTAGGCTTTGAGAGGTGCTGGCTGCTAAGTGGTGAACTAGGGCTGCGGTCTCACCCTCCGATGTCACCCTGCTACCCGGGTGTGGTGTCCTGGGCAGGGGTGCATGTGATGAAACACATCTCCACAGCCTATGCTGAGGTCCCAGAGCCTGTAGCAAGTGTGCCCCCCTCCTTCGGATGTAGAGAGGTGAAGGCACAGCAGGCTCATGGTGACTACCGGGGGGAGGTGGGCTGCAGCCAGACACCTGCCCTCTGTGTAGTGCTAGCCTGTTCCAGCACTTGCCACGCTATCTTATCTCACTGTCACCTCCGGCCTGTGAGGCGGGCCTCACTGCCCCCATTTTCCAAAGAGGGAGCTGCGATGTGGGGAGGTGAGCCACCCTCGCTGGGGGCCCTGCTCAGGAAGGGGCAGCCAGGACTTAGAGGTGGGCTGAGCTCTGGTGCTCCGCAGTGTTTCTAGGCTGGGCTGCCCCTCCTGAAGCTGTAATGTGCAGATGCAGGGTACCCAGTGGTGGTCACCAGGCCAATGGAGAAGATCATCCTCTGGTCACTCTGGCCAGAGCAGGGAGCAATGTCCTGGCCAGTGGCTGCTGGCAGGATACTTCTCTGCAGTGGGTCTTCCCAGTGGGGACAGGGCAGGGATGCAAATGGGCTTTGAGGAAGCTCCAGGTCTACAGCCTTTTAATCAACATCAGGGCACCCAACCTGCAATGGTGCAGGGCCACATGCAGGCAGAGATGGCTCCTTGCTCTCTAACCATGGAGCATTTTGAAGGCTCTGAGTCCCAGAATTCCTAGGAAAGGGGCCTTGGGCTGTGAAAGGAGCTGGCCTCCACCTCTGTCTATCAGTTAGCATGGCATGGATTCAGGGCAGTTGTCACCCTGTTCTGCAAATCCCACAACATCAAAGGCGGACTGAGCTCTGCACTGAGGGCTCTGGGCCAGGGCACGCCCTCAGCTGCACTCTGGCTGGCTGGGTGACAAGGCAACGTCTCCTCTCTGCCTCACCAGTCACAGGGAGGTGGCCATGCAGCGAGAGCACTCAAAAAGACAGAGGCAGCAAGTAAGCCGTGAGCAGACGCCTGATAGCACCTGTGGACAGGAAGGAGGAAACTAAGCTCTAAGGAAACCCTGATTTCCCAGGAGGAAATGCTGATGAAGCGGGGAGGTGCTCAGGTGGGCTAGAAGCTGAGGGGGCTGGTTTTTAGGTACTGGGGATCAAACTCAGGCACCTTGCGCCTGCCAGGCAGGCGCTTACGCTGCTGAGCTAGCTCCCTGGCCCCTCAGGGTGGCTGCTGTGAAGGGTAACGACAGTTTATAATCAGGTGTCTGGCTCCGAAATCTCTGCTAGGAATCTCTATGCACATATTTCCAAAAGTGCATAAAGATTGATTACAAAGTGATTCATCATTTAGACAAGGCTGCAAAAAAAAAAAAAAAAAAAAAAAAAAAAAAAAAAAAAAATGAGTCTCAATGTCCATCAATACGGCGTGGTGTTAAGCAAAGGATGTGTAAGTATTTCAAAGAGCTTTAATTTGCTAGCAGAGCAAGAATCCCCAAAGACAGTGAACTAAAGAAGCAGGAAGCTAAGAAGCCCGAAAGAAGCTTGCAAGACGTCTGAATTTAAGTGCACTTTAAGATGCACAGAGTAGTTCTAGAACTTAATTAACAGGAAAAATAAGGTTAATTCTATGTAACCATAGACCTCTGCGAAGTAATGCTTTTTTTTTTTTTTACAATGTCTCAGATAAAAACCTGCACCCTTGCCCCGCCCACTGGGATGCTGTCATGTGGAAGTGTGGACACTCACCTCTCCAACCACTTCCACTGGAGAAAGCGGTCAAAATACATGCTGTCCAGGTATTCATGGAACGGTTCTCCCCTCAGGTAGTCATGGACAGACCTAGCTCAGATGGACAGAAGAAGGATGAGCGTGTTATAACCCCAACCTCAAGCCTCTGACAATACAAACAAGGTCTTGCAGCACTGCAGCACACCTGGCTAGAGGCCTTGCCCCTCTGCTCAAAGTTGTTTGAGACTGGCTGATCTGGTGACATTTATCAGGTGCTTGATTATGTTGGGCGCTGTTCTGATCACAGGGATACAGCAGGGAGCACGGGGCGGTGTGCACTATGATGGGAGGATGCAAGCAGGAAGCCACAGGCACCACATGACCCCAGACAAGTGCTGTTGTGCGTTAGGGTGTGGTGAGGTCTCTGAAGAAGGAGCCCCTGAACTGAGAACAAATGGAGGCTTACTGAGGCATGGTGGGGGCCGGGGAGCGATAAGGACTTGGAGGAAGCCGGGCTGGGGAACAGTCACACAGCTCTTGAGGGATGTGGATTTCTCGGGACCAACAAAACCACGATGAGCTTCTCATGTGTGCAGCAGGATTTGCTGGTCACTTACTGTGGGTGAAGTGTCAGGCTAGGGTCTTTGATACTGGGGACTCCTCTGTATCTTAGGCCATCAGAGAAGGGCCTAACAAACTTCAAACTGGGCTGTGGGCAGGGATGGGTGGCTCCCCTTTACAAAATGGCCATGTAGCCCAAGCACTTGGGACCTGGGGAGGGGAGGGGACTGTGGCAGGGTAGGGACCACCAGAGGCTGCTGTGTCCTGTCCAACCTGAAAGTAGGCCAGTGTGGGAGGCCTGGATGGCCTTCCCTCTGGGCACAGTCAAGGTGTCCCTGGCTGTGCTGTTCATCTCTACAGCACCTAGTGCAGGGCTGGGCCCAAGGCAGCTTTCCCCAAATATCAGCTCTCACTTCAGCCCTGCCAGCTCCTCCCTTGGCCCATGCAGTTGCTGGTCTTGCTGCATAAGCTCCAAGAGGCCAGGACTGCGCTCCTGCTCACCGTGGTGTCCCTCAGAGCTAGCACAGTGCTGGGTCCACAGCAGGTATTCAGTGTCTATCATCCTAAGTTAACAAAAGCTCTCAAACTCATTTAGTGGGATGGGGTGACCCAGCTCTGAAGGGGGGGCGGTGCTGCATGTGTCCCAGCCCTTGGGCTGGAGTGTGTGCGTCAAGGCAAGGCAGGGTCAGCTGATGCCAACTTGGCTTAGCCTCCCCTACATGGCCCTGGGGACTGCTGACAAGATGTAGAGCTGGTGTGCGGACAGCCCATGCACCCTTGGCATCACCTGGTTGACAGTAGATCTTGGAGCCTAGAAAGGCGCTCAAAACCTTCCAGGTAGGGACAAGATTTTACACATTCCTCTATCGCAATAGCCTGAAGAGCCACCTGGCTGCAACCCCCTGTGAAGCAGGAGATGGAACTACATTGTCTTTCCCTTGGGGACAAGTACAGGGATCCACTCAGCTATGGAGGACGTTTCAGCTCCTAGTGGATGCTGAGACTGCTGGTAGTGCTGAACCCTATAAGCTACATTTCTTCTTCTACATAGAAACCTATGATAAAGTTTACTTGTAAATTAGGCACAATAAGACATTAACAATAATTAATGATAAAATTGAATTATTATTCAAACATACTGTAATAATTTAAGACTCAATTGCTTATTCCAGAAATTTTCCATTTAATATTTTCAAACAATATTTGACTGTGTATAACTAAAACTGTGGGAAGCAAACCCATGATATGATATGGGGAGACTACTAGACACAAATAATTGGGTGGCTTGGTGGGAGCTCCTAGCACGGAAGGCCTGCTCAGGAGCCTGCACTGCTAGCAGGGATAGGAGCAGCCCCTGCCCTGGTGGCCCAAAGTCCCCAGCCCAGGTTGGCCAGGTTGGCAAAAAACTTACTGTGCACAGGCGGAGAACAGCTCTTTACAAGGTCTCTGCAGAAGCTTGGCCTCTGTCTGGGACACCAGGTCTTGGCTGACCTGAGTGATGAAAACTGGGGACTGGAAGGAAGAGAGGCAAGAGGTTACTGAGGAATCGGGTGTCTGGAGGTGCCCACACACAGCAGACCCCAGGTGAAGGTGTGCAGGCTGCCCACACTAGTGTGTGTCCTTCTGCCTCCTGCCCCCACACCTGGTCTGGGCCATGTGGGCACTGTTCAGTGGCAGGGGAGCTGGCTGGATGGGAAGATGCAGGGCTCAGGTTCAGGGGGAGATTTCTGGCTTAGCCACTTACAAGCTATATGATGTCATACAGGTAGGAGGCTCTTCTGAGTCTCATGCCTCCTGTGGCCCGGATCTGTGGCCCCAACTGACACAGTACAAGTGCTCACAGGTGTAAGGAGCTGTGCACCATGGTCTAGCTCATCAGCGAGCTCCTGCTGAGCATGGTGACATCCCTTGGACACTCAGGCCTGTTTCCTCTGAGGGAGAATGTGAAGATGGACACAGTCCACCGCGGGCCAGGGGAGAGGGTCTGCAATGGGGAAAGTGTGAGTGTGTGGGTGTGAACTCAGTGGCCGAGGGTAAGGCACTGGGCCTGGAGGGCCTGGGTTTGAATCCCAAATCTGCTGCCTTTGGTTGTAGGATCTTTGTCTTCATTATTCAGCTTCACTGTTCTCAGCAAGATGATAGAGAACAGAATTTTCTCCCAGGAGAGTCAATGAAATGTTCAGGCTGAGCAATGTCCTCATCCTGCCATGTAAGTAGTGAAATAAATGTCACCACTGTTAGCGCATTCTCTTTCTAGGTTAAACTACCAGCTGGAGTACGGTAGTGTATTTCAAGTTTGCAAGGAATGGTCTGGGAGTTTCTGCACCTTACCAGCGGCAGCAGCGGCTTCATGTACAGTCTGCTCCTGGCCATTCACCCTCCACCAGCTGCCCCCAGGGCCAGACCTACCAGCTGGGCTTTGAGGTAGGTTTTTAATAAATTATAGGGACAATTGAGAAAATTGCCTGCAACTGGCTCAGAAAGACAGCGTGTAAACATATCTTTCTTCCTGATGGATGCTGAACCTGAAAGGCTTGCCTTCTCACCCAGCTACTGAGACGTGACTGCCAGCTTGGTTACTCTGCTTAGTCTGCTAGGCGGGGCCTACGGGGATTGATTGGATTGAGGGTGGCGGGAGAACCTGCAGCAGCTGGTTGGCCCCTGATAATGAAATCAGAGGCTTACTTTCTATTCCCCTTGGTTCAGAATATTTAAATCCCTCCCTTCCTTCCTAGCCCCATGCTCTGTGTAGCTTTACCGCTGCCCTGGGATCTCCTTCCCCTGGTGGGGGCAGCCCTGTGTCATTGCAAAGCCATGGACAACAGGTACCATTGCCCTGCTAGCTTGTCATGCACTATCCTGGTGGTGGCAGCTGCTTCTCACTTTCCTCTGCTCTGCCCTGGACCATCCCTCCCTCTCCACAACTAAGAATGATGGTGCACAGGGCAGAGGTTCAGCCTTGCCAAGGCAGCCCAGGACGAGAGTCAGAAGCTCAAGATGAACTCAAACTCTTGCCTTGGCCATTCATTCTGTGCCACCTCGTCTACCATAGCTGCTCTACCATAGCTGCTCCTGAGATGCCCTAAGGCTCCTCTGAGATTTGGAAATTGAGCACTAGGGGATTTTTGGCTTCTAAAACTAGGTAAGATTTGGAGGAATTCTGCAAGTTCACTCCTGGGAATCAGTAACTACAGGCTACTTCAGAGCAATCAAACACGAGGAGAAACCACCGGCCACAGGCAAGTCTGCTTTAGGAAGAAGAGAGCTCATGGCCAGGGCAACCATGGCCTGGACAGGTGCCCACTGCATACCTGTTAACAGGCTGGATAGTGGAATGCGTGTGCTAGGATACGACCTTGTACCTGGTACAAGTCCAGAAAGATGAATGGAGATGCTGGGCGAGTGGGCGGTGGGGAGGAAGTAGAAACATTTCTCTAACTGTAAGAAGAGAGTCCTGAGGTGCCCTTCTGCGTACACTGGGTGCACAGAATTTTGTTAGTATCCTGCCTTCATTTTCACCCAGGGAGGACCCACTTTACCCAAAATGGGCCCAGTTGAGGGCTGGCACAGGGTGGAGATTAAAGGGTGAAGCTAGTGTGGTCCATTGTATCATAATAGGAAAGTCCCCATGCCTATCAGCTATGTATGATATTACATAAAATGGCTAGTTGGGACTCAATAGCTTCCAAACCAAACTCTCTCTCTCTCTCTCTCTCTCTCTCTCTCTCTCTCTCTCTCTCTCCCTATCTCTCTCTCTCTGTCTCTCTGTCTCTCTCTCTCTCCCTCTCTCTCTCTGTCTCTCTCTTTCTACCCACCTCCCCACAGCAAAATTTCTTCCTTTTCCAACTGAAATTAATCCACACAATCAATATTTAAAACACTAAGGATAATGGGTAGCAATGGTTTATGCATATTGCCATGGTCAGTATGCATGAAGACACTTTAATGAATCTCAATGTACATATGGCTCTATGAAGCAGATATTAATATGATGAGGAAACTGAAATTCACAAAGGTTAAGCAAGATCACCCAGCCAAGAAGTGGCAGTGGAGGACTGAAGCCAGGCTGGCTGGCCCTTGAGTATGACTCAGATGGCTTTTCACATTCCACCTCATCTCCCAGGAGGCTCCTAAGGTGCGACCTTAACCCCTGGGGCTCTACAGAGCCAATGTGAAGACCTGGCACTATACGGTCTCGTGTGGCCAGCAGAGGCAGGCACCACAGTTCAGGGTCCCAAGACACAGAACTAATAGGAGGGAAAGATCACGTTGGCCTGGAGTCATCTGCAACAGGAGGATGGAGTGAGAGGCAAAGCAGAACCTGGCCTCAGCTCTCTTACTCTCGTGGGCCTTCCACCTCAGGTCAGGCCAGCCATCTGGACTCTTCTCAGTAGGTAATAGGACTGTCCAGAGTCTAGGAGTGACCAGCCGTGCTCATTAAGTCACACTATTTTCATTCTTAGAATTGACTGTGCACAGGCCAAGCCCTGGCAGGGAGCTGAGGAGCAGATGACAATGCCTTTGATTTAATGATCACTCACTCTCTGGTTCAACATGAAGAGATTAAATGATTCCAACAAGCCCCCTTTCAAGTGACTCCAGTGAGCAACAACTTTGTCACCAAAAAGGAATCAGAAGTTGCTGGCCAGTGTAAATCTGGAACAGAAACTGGAACCCACCAATAGGTGCAAGGTGAGCAGCAGATTGAAAAGCATTTCAGCTGGACGGTTACTGCCTGAACCCTTGGAGCTGGCGGGGGTCTGGTCTTCCCCTCCACTCAGAGAAGTCATTGCAAAGGCAGAGCTACAAAGAGGCCTCAGGAGAGGTTAGCATGCACACGTCAGCAGGTATAATGCACCACATTAACAGAACCAAGGACCAGAGCCATGTGATCATCTCAGTAGATGCAGAAAGAGCATTTGAGGGCCGGGGAGATGGCTCAGTAAAATAAGTGCTTGCCGGGCAAGCGCAAGGGCCTGAGTTCAATCCCCGGTTCTGCCAAAAAATACATAAATAAATATAAAAAGGCATTTGACAAATGATAAAAACCCTACAGAAAATTGCAATAGAAGGTCTTTATCTCAATCTGATAAAATCCATCTATCATAAACCAATAGCCAACATCATATTATATGGTCAAAAATGGAAAGCTTTCACTCTAAAATCAAGAACAAGGATGCAATAGTTCACCACTCCTGTTCATTATAGTTTTGGAAACATTAGCCAGAGCAATTAGAAGAGAAAAACAAAGGAATATGGATAGGAGAGGAAGAAGTTAAATTATCATTATTTGCTAATGATAGAAGACCTCCCAAAGATTCCACCAAAAGACTCCTAGAATTAATAATCAAATTCAGTAGCATAGCTGGATGCAAAGTCAACTTTCTAAAATCAATAGGCTTCCTGTACACAAATATAATCTCACTGACAGAGAAATTAAGGAGACCACACCTTTCACAAAAGCATCCAAATAAATGAAATATCTAGGAATAAATCTAATGAAGGAAGTAAAAGACCTTTACATTGAAAACCACAGTATTCTGAAAAAGGAGATTAAAGAGGATATCAAAAAATGAAAAGTATCCCTTATTCTTAAGTTGGAAGAACAGTGAACATGGTCATACTTTTCAAACTGTTACACAAATTTAATGCAATCCCAATCAAAATGTTAATGGTATATTTCACAGAATTAGAGAAACAAAATACTAAGATTCATTTGTAACCACAACAGACCTAGCCTAGCAGAAGCAGTTCTGGGCAGTAAGGGCAAGGCAGGAGCATCACTATTCTCCTTTTGAAGTTACATTACAAAGCTACTATGATAAAAACCCAGTACTGGCTAAGAAACAGACCCGAGAATCAGTGGATCAAAACAGGAGGTACAGAAACAACTCCAAGCACACAGATGCCTCGCTTTGACAAAGGGGTCAAACACCTTCACCGAAGACAGCCTCTTTAGTAAATGGCGCTGGGAAAACAGGCTTTCCACATGCTGAAGACTGAACCTAGACCTATACCTCTCACCAGGTCTAAACTAAAATTGAAACAGGTCAAAGATCGAGCTATAAAAACAGAAACACTTAATATGATGGAAGATACAACAGATATAAGTGTAGGCAAAGACTATGAATAAAACCCTGACCACACTGAAAATGCCACAAAGAATCAATAACTCAGATCACATCAAATTTAAAAAAAATAAAAAAAAACTTAGAGCTGGCCAGATAGCTCAGTGGATTAAAGTGCCTGCTTAGGCAGAGGCAGGGGTCAGAGGTTTCATTCTCCCTACCATGCTGATCCTGCCCCCGGAGTGCACTTTGATGGCAATTGGGACTGGGCGTGGTGGAGTGCACCCGTAATCCCAGCATTTGGGAAGCTGAAAACAGGAGAATCACTGCAAGTATGATCTATGTAGTGAGACCCTGTAGACCCTGTAACCCCACCACCCACTCTTGCACTAAATACAAAATAAATAAACAAATAAATAAATAACTTTTGCCAGGCATGGTTAT